GTTGATGTGCCAGAGTCAAGACTGAGAGCGGCCAGATCCTGTGTCGGTGCCTCCAACGTCGCTGAGCCGTTCACCTTCTTCTCCGCCGGTGTGACCGCTCCCGATTTGGGCACCTCGTTGGCGTCTACAAACTCAATATCGCTATCGGACTTGCGTTCCAGGTCGGCAAACTCTTCGTCGTCGAAGCTGCCGGGCATCTTCTCCTCGCTCATCCGTTGCCGTAGCGGCGGCGGGTCGGCCTTGTTCTTGTCCTTCTCCAGCGCCTTGGCCTCCTGCATCATAATGCTGTCAAGGGTGACAAACGCCTTGCGCAGCTTATAGAAACCCTTGAGAGCCTCCGTCAGACTCTCGTGCAATACGGCCACGACGGCCGCCATGAGCTGCGACTCCGCGTGGATGAGCAAGAACTCGGTGCCCGGCGCGTAGATCCTACTGCTCGTGGCGTCCCGTTCGGCCTTTTTGTAATCCGCCCATGCCTTGGCCTCTGTGTCGGCCAGCCGTTTTGAGGCCTCGTTCATGACCTCCTTTTCGAACCCGAGCACGGAGCGGAGGAATGTCGTCATGGCCAGGCCCAGCTGGTGAAAGGCCGAGTCGCCCTTGCGCAGACGCTCCTCGGCGCCGTCAATGTCGTCGTTCATGATGAAGGCGGCGGCTACCATGGCCTCTTCGATATCGGCCATTTCCTTGGCGGAGAGCTCCTTGGAGGAAAGGTTGACCGATGACGCGGCCGGGCTCGCATTGCTGCTTACCTTGCCCGCCGAGCGGAACCATGAGCCCAGTCTACTCATGATGAAAGCGTGATGAGAAGTGCCAAGAGTGAGTGAATGTTTCCTACGAGCAGAATGCAACGTGGCCAACTACAAGAAGAACAAGAAAATTCACGAGACGGGCTGGTTGTCACTGAGTCGGGACCTCAGGAAGTTGACGGGGATGACTAGAAACCGGAAGTGCTCCGGCGAGTCGCTGACAGAGAGTGAGAGTGAGAGTGAGAGAAGCTCGCGGCAGGCAAAAAGGGCCGTGGATCCCCAGCGGCGGACTTTGGGGTGCTGAAACAAACACGGGTCGACAGAGTCCGAATCTGGAATGCCGATTGGCGAAGGGGATGACGTCTTTTTTGCCTAGTTTGGCCGCCTCGTGTGAGTAGAGTGAGTGAGTTGTCCTAGTTTTGTGTGCTGGTGAGTGTTTGTGAGTGCGAGTGTACCAGTCCGGAGCTCTCTGGTGGAAGCTTCGATTTCGTCCCTTTTTTTTTTTTGGTGGCAACCCGGAGCTGGCTGGGAATAAAAACGGACGCAAGGGTGCCTGATAAATGGCGCTGTTCGGCGAGGATAGAGATGGAGACAAAGACGTGGGAAGCTAAAAACTGAGATGGAGAAGTGAGAGCCGAAAGCGGTCGAGAGCGCGTGCTCAGTCACTTAGTGAGCTTCTGCTGTTGGTGGGCCTTTTCCTTGTGAAATGGGGGAGCTCTCGGTATCAGAGGAGATGCCCGGATGTCCTCGGTATCATGGGGTAAAGGCAAGGTTGGAGGACGAGCTCTTGCTGGTGACGACGTTGATATGACTGCTGACGATAAGGTGAGAAAGTTAGAAAGTCTGGCTTAAGAACAATAGCATGAGGTAAGAAAAGGGAACAAATAAGCCAAGCCAAGCCAAGGTATGGTCGAGTACATGCATGGAAAAAGGCTTAGGTGAGCGGCGGCGAAGGAGAGCGCAGCTCAGCTGTTGAACAAGTCAGGGGTGCACGTACTGAACCAGTGAACAGTACGCAAAAGTCCTCACCTTCAGTAACACAGAAGCGGCGTCAGATGTGCCAAGAGTTCGCAACGGCCGTCATTGACAAGCAAGAGTGAGATGGGCCAGGGTTGCTTTGACAAAGTGGGTGTGGTATATGCGGTGAGCGTTGCGCGTTACCGTACAACTTAGGAAGAGCTGCCAAATACACGTATCTGCGGCTCCAGGGCATGAAAAGGTAAGGTCGGAGAGGGGCGACCGAGCCTTAAAGCAGTTGTACTTTGAGTCCAGGTGGCGCGGGGCACGAGGGAGGGAGATCGAGAGAATGGGCTCGGATGGGTTCCTAGAGCTGGAGCTAACGGTTATTCGTTCATGCGCCGGCGAGTCCACCGGTCGAGAATTGGGACGGGGGTGTCGATGGATAGTATGAGATGGGATGGTGCCGGTGCTGGTGAGCGTTGTGTGGATGCATGTTGGTTTGTGTATATATTGAGTGTACGGAGAAGAGTCTCTAGCGAGCATGGTAAGGCGGTGCTGTAGGCAGATCCGGCTACATCAGCCGGAGTAATATTCTCATAAAGAGAGGCGCAGCTCCGATTCACAAACGTACCCGTACGGAAGTTATTGTGAGCTTTTTAGAAAAGGCTCATTAGGTGAGAACGCAGGGACAGAAAAATTGGCCGGTCTTCTAAGTATCCAGCCTGGGAAAAGCGGCCAATTCTTCTGACCCCCGCGAAGTGAGATAGGTAGGGCCCTTGACGAGAGAGTTGAGTGATGAATCACACAGCTTTCCTCCACAGCTTCAGGACCACTTTACCAGGGAAGATCCGCTAGTGAGAACCAAAAGAGAGACTGGACTCACTGGAGAGAGTGAGCAGAAGAAGAAAGTTACGACCTGTGCAGGAGTAGCGTCGTATTCCGTGCCTTTGAGTGGTGGCTGAGCCTGCCGCTTCCGCATCCGCATTCGCACTTTGGTGTGTCCTTGATCCATCGGCCCCAAGATATCCATGGATAGTTAGATAACTCATTGATTGTCACTAACCCAACACTGCGGTCAGTGGGGGATGGCCCCGGGGTTATCGGGTCGTTCGGCTGCTGGCAATCCCCGAGTTACATCGGGGGCGCATGCCTTTACTTCCTCCGCTCCGGTCCCCATCAGCCACTTTCATTCTACAGCATGTTGAAGAATTTTCGCATCCTCACACGAGAATGAACTTGTTTATGTCATACGGTAGAATAGTTTGTTCCGGTCAGTGAAAGCCTGACGTAGGCACAGTGAGAAGCAGCCGGGAAGCCTGACGATGCATATGAGCTAGTCTGGACTGATCCCTCTGGCATTCGCGCGCGGGAAGCGATGATTCAAAGTCCCCGAGACTCGACTCGAATCAACGCCGGGAGACGCCATTGCTAAGCAGCCAAGGCCTGGGCATCGCCAGAGGTGCGGACCCAAGGTACCCTAGCCAAGAGATCGTCCGCTACTGCATCTTGCATTCATTGCAGGCAGAAGCTGGCGGCGTTTTCCTTGGTCCTTCTCCGGCCATCTGGTCAGCATGCACAGTAAGGCTGGTCGACTAGAATAGGGGGCACATGTCAGAAAGTCACATGCCCAAGGTTTGCCATGACCTTTACAGATGGAAGGGCAATGATGCTCTCGACCGGGTGACCTAGTTGAGAGAGTGATGAATAGGGAACGTCCGTGACACGCGCGAGATAGTAAAGTTCTATCTACGGCATCATTAAGAGTCGACTGATGGGAGCTTCCTTCATCTCAACTCCCCAGACATCCGTCCCGATGCAAAGATCTCCGGTGGTAAGCAATTACCCCTTCGGGATATGCATAACGTGCCCGGCTCGTCTTATCCCTTGGTCCCTGGCCGCGTCGGTGCCTCGCAAGCAAGCCGCGCAACCCACACAGTAGCGGGCTCGCGTGCTCAGTCCCCTCAATATGGACGAGGAACGCAGGCAGCCGCTGCCAAGAGGTAACGTTGAAGGGAAAGGTAATAGCCATTAGTAGAGGCACAGGCATAGAGTGAGAAGGCGAACAATCTTTAGAAAGTGGACAGGGCTCCCATATTAACTCTTGGAGACACGAACATCTCGCTTCGTCTTTATCTACTGATTGTGTGAGATTTATTGACCATTGCCAGAGGAGGGGCCCAAGGTCCGACTCAGTCTCAGTGTCTGCTCCTGGGATTGATGCAATGGCAACCTTTCGCTTGTCCTCAGAGGTTGCAAAGCCACTGCAGTAGAGGCTGAAAAGGAAATGCTTTGTGTGTAATGAAGCGTGATATAAAAGGGTCGCTGGTCTAGAGAGTATCATTGTCGCTGCGATGTTGCATCCTACTGCAAGTGGTCGGTCTGTGTATGCAACTCCGAATCTAGAGGTTCAAAAAGCTCTAATTCACTTGAAGCGAGACCTCGAGGCCCAAATGAGATCGAAGATAACTCGATGATCAATTTCAGCCATAGTATGAACCCAAAAAGGGGTGAACTCGAGGTATCTCATAACTGAGAGTGTTGGTCTGCTCACGTAAGTTAATTGCTTCTCAAATTGATGTTAGTGAATGAGTATTTTTGTATCTACAACACTGAGATTGTCCCATTAGACAACCACCACTTGCATGTTAAGCCCATAAAGCAAGGTGAAGAACAGGAGTATTAAGGGTAGTTGACCATTGATGAATAGGCCCTGGTTTTTCTCAAGTCTCCGGTACCTGAATGAATCTCGATTCCCTGATGCCTCAGTTGAATAGTGACGCCCAGTGAGTCTTTACCCCGCTGCGTCACTCACTACCTTACCTTGGGCTGGGCTCATAATGGGTGTAGGAAGAACCGCCCTTGGCGCTGCGACGCTCCGACCTGAGGTGGCTGTTTCTGACCTCACCCCACCACGCCTCTGAGGCAGCTACCCCGCCATCGGCCGAGACACCAAGCTGACTACGTACTTTTCCACCCAAACCAGAACACCACGGTCAATTTGGAAACGACATCGTCGCCAACACCATCACCGACCTCGATACGCTGTATGCTATTTCTGCTACCAAGACTCAACGCACGGAATTGCCTGAACCTCTCACAGGACAGCTCTTCCCCGCCCATCGTCAGCCAACAGCTCTTCGATCCTCCGAAGCTCCACCATCCAGCTGCGGTTCGAGAGCTTCCAACCTTGAGGGTTCCCGGTTCCCACTAGGCAAAGCTCACCGATCACCTACCCAAACTCAGTCCCACCATCAACATTCTAGAATACACAACCAACACGCAACATCGCCCATCATGTCGAGCAAGCGAATCGCAAAGGTACGCCAAACTCCTCCCCAGACCCCCAAATACACCCTGTAGATCACCACCATCCCTTACTAAGACCCAAAACCACCCACACAGGAACTGACCGAAGTCACCACGACCCCTCCCACGGGCATGACCATCACCCTCGCCCGCGACTCAGACCTCCACGCCTGGCACGTTGCCCTCACCGGCCCCGAAAACACCCCCTACGCAGGCGGCACCTTTGCCGTCCTTGTCGACCTCCCCAAAGACTACCCCTTCAAGGCCCCCGTCGTCAAGTTCGCCACCCGCATCTACCACCCCAACATCACAAACGATGCCAACGGCAACATCTGCCTCGGCATGCTCAAATCGGAAAACTGGAAGCCCGCCACCAAGCTTGCCGCCGTCCTCGAGGCCGTCCGCTCCCTCCTCGTCGAGCCCCTGCCCGACGACCCCCTCGAGGCCCGCATCGCCGACGAGTTCAAAAATAACCGCGCCGAGTTTGAGAAGAATGCCAAGCAGTACGTCACGCGCTACGCAAAGGGCCCGGCTAGCTTTACCGCCTCTGAAGTGCCTGCCAAATGAAGCGAGCATCATGGCCAGTCACAGTACGATGTGGGTAGTGCCTTCCCTAGCTACGGCGGGGCAGAAGAGGAGGACGGAAGCACGACCAGAACACCACAAGACAGAGTGTCGTAGTTCCTGGGGATGCCAATCATATTTTCCAGTGATTCGAGCAAGAATATTAAGAACGACGGCGTTGATCGGTCCAGACAGTGAGCATTAACGGCGTTGGGGAGATGGAAATTTCAAGTTGTTACATGCTTTTCCCATGGATTTGGAATAGTCTCTAGACTTTCAGAGGGCATGAGCAGAGCTTCGGCAGCCAGCAATCGGCCCATTGCGTGGATCGGTAGCCTGGGCCTGTCCCATATTATGCACTTTATCTAGGACGGCGTTCATATTAGATTGTTACAGGACGCTGAATCAGATCACTTATCGTTACCTGCTGGAATTAGCATAATGGCATTGTGACGATCTGGACACTCGAGGCGTTGCTCATGACGGCTGTGTAGGTAAACGAATAGCACCAATCATGAAGACTCGCAGGAATCAAGGGCACAAAGAAAAGCTTGAGCATTGTGTGATGCTAACAGACATCGTATCTACAACTTGGTGAGACTGTTCTTCACCCGTTCGGGCACTTCCTCCACATATGTTCTATGCCGAACCAAAAATCCAATATGCTGGGGGCGTGACCGCGCCGCCCTCTTCTAGAATGATATCCGTTTTCGCTTCCCAATGGTGCCGCATGCCATGTAGTCATTACCCTTGAAATGCAAATATTTCCTCAAACGCCGTGGCTTAATGCATGCATGCAACTTTTGTTCCTCCTCTGTGGCGGGCTCACGATACCTCTGCTGATCTGCCCAGCCTCCTACGTCCAAAAATGGTGCCTTTCCTACGGACCTCTCCTTCGGCCTCGGTAGCGTTGGCGCTGTCCACACCGCCTGCGTACGTGGCGGCTCTTTGATGTTCTGTCTGGACTTTTACACGTCTTTCTTCCCGCTGCGTATCGATTGTATCTTGGCTGATGTGCCCAAAGCCGTTGCGACGCTTGAAACAAGCCTCCATCAATGCATTCGCGTCCAGCAGCTTGCGAGGCATGGCCTGTATCACGGAAAACATCTCCATGGGATCCGCGACAGATCGAACCTCGTTTTCTCCAAGCTTGAAAATAGCCAAGGCAATGCGGAAAAGAGTCTTGGAGCCTTCGTAAAAGATAACGTCCCACACGCGCAATGTGCTCTCAATAGGCAGGGTACCAATGAAACAGCTCATAAACCATGCCGTCATGCAAAGTGTAATGGGAGGCAGACGGTTGGACGAGATGCTGGGTTGGTTCTTCCTCCTCACCCTCGGCTTTTTTACTGGCTTCACCGGCCGCGCCGCGTTCGGGTCACCTTCCATATCGTCGCCAATCTTGGCCCAAACAGCAGGCATGGACTCCCTGATGGCATTCATCAAGACACCAAGGTCCACCTTGGATCCTTCAAGACTCATCTCGTGGGTACCCGGTAAGTATAGGCGAGTGATGACATTCAACAGCCAGAAGGCCTTCTCTTCGGAGTCCATGAACAGAAGGAGCAGGCCAGCTAGGAAGTTGAGACTCTGGCAGTATCCGATGCGTGGGTTGTAAATGGCGAATGCGTGCAGGACCCGTCTCAGGGAAGTAATGATCGCAGGCTCATTCTTGGCCTCGCTCTCGGAGTCGTCCGTTGACTGGACGTCTCGAGTTGGTTCCGTGTTTGGCTTCGATGCCATGCTTGCAGGCTTGAACTTGACATTGTCCGGGAATGTCCGGTGAAGATCTCGCTCAATAGCCTCGACATCAATGTCTTTAGCCTTCTTCTGCAGAAGAGTGTCGTAAAGACCAGAGTGTTTTGCCAAAATGGCGGGGCCTCCTGCGTAGTAAAACCAGGCAGCGCCTCTCCACTCAGGCGGAATGCCTTTCCGCACAAAGCGTTTCGCCTTCGCACTATGGGGAGGGAATCGTTCTGGCTGGTTCGTCATAAGCCCACTCTCCTTCATAAACGCAGTCCACTTTTTGCGCCGTCGGTCGAGATAGTCAGAGTACCCCTTGTCCCAAGCGTCATACTGTTTTCTGGTAATATGCTGGTTGGCTTTCTTGAAGCCGTATCTGTCTCGTGCGCCTGGCTCCTCGGTTTCGACCGGCTCGGGATCTACGGCCGTTCGCGCAGAAGAGGCTGATGGGCTATTCAGCTGCGGAGACGTAGCCGGTGTGTCGGTCTGGAGAGACTTTGCAGAGTCTCGCTTCTCATTAGTATCTTTATCGTCGTTTCGATCGTAGTCCGCCAAGCCGAGCTCCTTCGGCAAAGAAGCTGGGTACTCGGATACCCTGAACATCTCGGTCGATTCACGAACAATAGTGTCCGAAGTCGGGACAGTCAATGAGGTGGCGGCGGGTGCGGTCAATGGTTGACTCAAAGCTTCCAGCATTCTCGTGTTCCGCCTGTTGATCTCCGCCGCCGGAACGGGACGCACATCGTCGTCATCGTGGTCCTCGGGGCTCGAGTCGTCTCGGAAGCCCTTTTCGTACATCCCCATAACGTCGTCGACACTAAGCTCCTCCCCGTTAGCGTACAGCGATGGAATCGAGCTATTCTTGGTGAGAACACTGCTTCTTTCCGTCACGTACGTTCCCTGTGCACTGGACGCAGTCATCTGAGATCGGTAACTCGATCTCATCTCGTCTTCACCACTCATCCATGGCGCCTCCCTCGCATATGTAGATAGCCCAGAGCTCGAGCTGTCGACACGGCCGTAGGCCATTGGAGGACGGGTGAGGCCTGACGGAGGCGGGGCACTTCGTAGACGAGAGGGAGCACGAGGCTCATAGAGGTCACCTCCGGATGCTGGAATCGAGGCAAACGTCGAAGCCGACCTTGCAGATGATCCGGACTGACCCCGTGGCCGCGGCCATGCTTGATGGTGCGAATTAGGGTCAGAACGCGGCTCTGAAGGAGAGTAGTTGGCTCGAGGTCGGTATGAGTCTTGTATCGGTTGCTTGATGCTCGGCCTTCTCGGGCGAGAGAAGTTGTCAACCTGCATGGTGTCGATCGAGGAACGGTCGTCTTCGTCGTACGGGATCGGGGATCTGATCGAACGAGCGGCTCTGCTTGTCCATTCGTCGGCGCTCAAGTCGTCGTCAAGGTCGTGACCCGGCCTCGGTGCCAGCGAGGGGAACGTAGGGGAGGAGGGGTAGTGCTGAGTGGAATCATAGGTAGGACGTCGAGGGGACTGAGGCTGCGACTGGGGGCTCGTCGAGTTTTGTTGCATCCCAAAACTGCTCGAGTTATTGGCGAGCGAGTCCCAGCGCGGAGGGGATGTGGGTAAGGGATGTGCATATGGTGGTGGGTAGTCGGAATTGGGACGCTCTGGAACGTCAGAAGTTGAGATGGGTTTCGGATGGGTCCGCCTTGAAGCATAAATACCGAATTGGCGATGCTTCATGCTATTCTGGCGGTGGACGGTAGGGTCCTGGTCCGCCATGGCTCCGGGGGTGATCTGGGCGTCGGGATGGCCAGAGTCCGCTGCCATGGCCATGAGGGTCATCGTGGCTGACTCCCCAGGCCGTTATATGGTGGCAGCAAGTTCTACTCGAGTAATTGGATTCGCAGACAACGTGTTGGAGTTGCAAGTGACGGTGTTACTTTGCGGGTCTCTTTGTCGGCAAAGTTGTAGTTGATTGCAACTGGTGTTACGATAGCGCAGTCAAGTATCTGTAATGGTTTTGCAAGTTGATTGTGGTAGGGCAGTCAAAAGCGTTCCTGACGATAGCATTGCGGCACATGCATGAACCTTGCGTTTGGCAGCAACCCTCTTTGAATAGTCTCAGCAAGTCGCAACGGGTATTGGTCGAGCGGGGCTGGTTCCAGTGGTTGATCGCTGCTGGAAGCCAGGATATGGTAGGATGAAGAACGGTCGGTGCGAAGGTGGTGCAGAAAAAAGGGCGACTATCGGGACAAGTCGAGCAAGGAATGGCAGGTTTCCAGCGTCACAGGGCGTAGGAGACGAGGTGATACCCTGAGTACAGTTCATGCGCATGCGCATGCAAACTGGGGGCTGGATGTAAGGGGTGAAGTTGGACGTCAGAGATCGACCAACAGCTGAGTCAACGGGCGTCGTTTGAGCTGGGATGTAGTAGGCCGGGACTTGCGAAACAACAGATGCAGAGAGCCGGAGACGAGCCGCTCAGGCAGGCAGGTACAGACGGATTTAATTGCAGATGCAGGAGATTGTCGTCGTCTTCGCCGTGGTCGGCAAAGTGAGGAGAAAGCAAGGGAGCGGTATCCGATCCGGGTGGTGCGGTAGGCTGGCACGCTGGGTAGTATTGTGGTGTTGTGGCAGGTCTCCAGTGCTCCTCTGAAAGTCCCCAGTCGGCCAGAGGTATTGAATTGGATTGGACGAAAGGATGGTGGTTGGCGGACGTGTTTTGGGGGGGACCTGAATCTCCTTTGGGGGCGGATGCCTGTTGTCGCAGATGAAGATGCTAAAACTGAAGCGAGCGTTTGGACCCAGACGGGGGCGTCGTCATTGGTTCAAGCCCAGGGCAGGAACATGAAAACAAGAAAAAACAACAAAAGAGGACTTGTCGAAGGTCAAGAAACGATGACGGGATTCCTCAAGGGTTCCAGTCCCCAATTGTGCAAGGCGTTGGTCTCCTTCTTTTTGTTTTGGTGGCACGGAAAGTAGCAGGGCGGGTTGGGCATTCGTGGCGGCGCCAAGTTTGAGGTGTCTCGGAGACGAAAGGGCGATTGACTCGTGCGTCAGATTTTGGGCGACGCTGCCACGAGGCAGAAGCAAAGAAAGGCGGCGGCCGGGTATCGGAAACGGTTGGTGATTGGTTGCTCTTTGACAGACGGATCGTCTCAGTATCGTGCAGTCAGAATGCGAGTAGGTTGAATTACGGTCGAGAGTGGCCGAGCGATGGAACGAATAGTAAAGAGTGCGGTGCTCTGCTTGGCACGTTGAGGAAAAGTAGACAGGAAAGAAAGTGCAAGACAAGTCGAGTCCCAGGTGAACGAACGGACGGAATGAGAAGAAAGAGGAAGAGAGGAAAAGGAAAAAAGATGTTGAAATTCGGGCCAATTGCGCCGACGAGAAGCGCGGCGTCGGATGCCGAAAAAAAACGGGAAATAATTTTAGAAGGAGGCAAGGAACAACCAGGGCTGCATTAAGGAGCCTGAGGGAAAGAGCCGCCAGAAACAACAACGAGGAAGCTGCGCTACTGCCGCTCTTGCTGTTGCAGTCTGCACTGATGGTGGATTGATGGATTAAGAAAGAGGGAAGGAGCGATTGGATAACAGTGCGGACGCAAGTCGCAGGTGCAGGTGCAGGTGCAGGTGCAGGTGTACCTCAGTAGACAAATGCAGGAAGGTGCAGGAAATAATTAGTTTAAGGTAAGGTAGAGAAGGAGGGATGGGAGGGAAGGAAGGAACGAGCCACAAAGACGAAGACGAAGACGAGAGACGACGACGACAACGACAACAACAGCGGCCCAAAGAACAAGGAAGGAAGGAAGGATGACTGAATAAGATGAGGAGATTGCATAGACTTGGATCGTCCTCGCTTTCCCCTTGCTCTCTCGCTTGTTCTTCGCCTGACGTGGTCACTCCCTCGATATCATAATCCCTAACGACTGGAAATTCAATATGCTCATCCACCATTTTTTTTATTTTATTTTTTATTTTTTTGGAAGCGGACGGACCATCAGAAAATACGCCAAGGCAATTTGTTATCAAATTCCAACCTTCCGCTTATGATGGTGAGCAGACACCTCAATTTCTACCTGACTTTGTTACTCGTATGCTTACTTACCAAGTTACCACTAAACACCTACGCCATAGTACTCCGCAACATACGGAGTATCCGTACATTAAATCCATTCTATCCGTACGATGGCGGGAGCGGACACTGAGAGACACCGCCAGCTCCGAAGGGTCGCAATCAACATGGAATGGAGTCAGTCATTCACGTCTCCCTCCTACCGAGACCGAGACTAGGACCAAGACCAAAATCCAGAAAACCAACAAACCAACGGCCAACCTGAAGACCCATCCAGAAAAGGAAGAACGCCGCCCTCGCAACGACACAGATTGATTAAAAACGGTGAGAGAAGAGAGTCAGTCAGAGCTGGTGCCAGCGCCACCTTTGCAGCCCATCGTCGACTCTTGTTTCCCCGAAATCGTCGTTTCTCACAAGCTTACAGGCTTACAGGTACTGAGAAAATCTCATCAATCCGATTCATCACTCCATCCATATCGTCACCAAATTTCGTACACCTGCTACTAAGGACCAAGGTGCCATCCTTCCCCGCAGTCACTCGTCAATCATCTCTCAGCATTCTACCCAGGCCTGGTCAAGTCGGTCAGCGCCTGTTTCCAAGGCCTCATGTCGCCCTGGTCGCCCATGTCCACGGTCCTCTTCTTCCTGGTCACGTCCCCGTTTCTTCCTTCGAGAAGCAGAATCCATCAACTCGGGATGTGGCCCTTGGACAAAAGTACTTGCCCCTGCCACCAAATTCACGCTCTGGCACATGTACCTTCGTCTCATGTTTCTTCCAGCGGGTTTCCCGCCTCCCTTGCATCACCCGAGGCCAATAACACCCTTGGTGTTATTATTACAGCGCCCGGACCATTTCCCTGCCTGGCCTGCGCAGACGGAACGTCCAACAATATTTTGATATGGTGCCCACTCAGGAGCTGGCGAGAAGGGCAAAATCGATAGCGACAGGGTATCTAAACAGGCACAGGGAAGCACTTTACCCAACCCTCAAGCCCTGGACAAGAAACCTGGCTTGCCTAGGCGGTGGGCGACTTCGACAAGCACTCTCATTGCATCCTGTTGCATTATTGACCCTCGTTCACGGGTACTCGAGGAACAGGGAACAGCAGCACGACCCTCCCGATATCTCATACATATCCGTACGAATATCCGTACTTCGTACCGTAAAATGCCGCGGCGACACAAATGTCAGAGAAACGAGGCCTGTGGCCCGGAAGCGAGCCTGCGACCGACCGACCAACTCTCACCACCAGCGAACACAACAACGTCCCGATATCAGATGCTGAGACGCGACGCAACCACTTGCAGGGGGCTCAAGCAGCGCCGTTACTTGCAGGGGCCAGCGAACAAGGCCTGTCTCCTGTCCGGCGCCGGCGGCCCTTCCCACTGGGACAACTTGGGGCCGGCCCTCCACCTTAGGCTTTCTGGCCATTCCACTTCGCGGGAAGAGGGTTTGCTAGTGCCCCTGGTGCCTGAAGCTATTCCCAAATGAGTATTCATCATCCACTGCCCAATCACCTTACAATTTCCCGGCCTAGGGCCCGGTAACGTACCGTACCGATCCTCACTGGTCAACTCTCCGTTTTCGCGCGGCCTTCAGAGAAAATCTGCACCTATCGTCATTTTCAGCTTGTTGATCCATTCCTTTCTATGGAGTACGCATCAGGTAGGAGAAGCTCTTTTTTCCTCATGTTTTTCTTCCTAGTCCGTCGTACTTTGGACCCAGAAAACGCCGTTGGCAGGGCTCTCTGGTCTCTACTAGCGTAGTCTCTCCTTAGTTTGCTCTTGAATTTCTTTTTTTTCATGACCTTATTCTGCTCCTTTTCTGCATTTGGGAATGCTTTCTTTTTGACGTCCAGTTGTGGAATGTGGACCGACCAAACGGTCTTGGGCATTTTCTTTTCCCACCAACAGCATGGCCTTGGCTTCAGTTAGGGTTGCTTCCCATTATGCCATGCTCAATGGCGGGTGAGACTCTCACTCGAGAGAACCGAGGTCATGTCCCAAATGAGATGTATTCATTCAGGTAAAGTGCCCTGGATGCTCTACCACAAAGCCTTCGGCCCTTCGCCGCTAGAAGGGACAACGGGTACCAATCTGGCGGTTCTCATGCATATCGCTACCAGCGGGCATGCATCATCCCTTCTGACGCCGGCCGCTACTACATTGATCTCGATCATCGGCCCCATCACAAACAGGGCATGGAGAAGTTGTTCTCGTCTATTTCCTCGCTTCGCCTCGCCTGAACTCCATCTCGATCCTCATCCTCGGGGTAGTACAATGGAGCTTGGAAGTTGAGCGTCGAGAATCGTGACTCTTGGTCCGGTTTTCTTACCTGTTTCTTGCGAGCCTTTACGACAATCCATCTTTATCCGCTTCTCCGCTCCAGTACGAACACAAACATTACCTGTCATCGCGCAATTTTCCAGACCGCCGTCTTCCGCGCATCGCCGACGTGTCATCGATGTACACTTTCGGCGGCTGCTCCGATGGGCGAGTCCAGCCCAGATACCTTTATCATACCTCTCTCCCTGGGGCCTTGGCTGAAGCTATGCCAACTCCGAACTGTATCCGTAGAGCCGGATACCACCCAACTTTCTCAAAAGACTCCACAACCATACACACCATGAGCATAGTCAGGAACGAGCTCAGTCATCTCGAGAACACGCAGAGTATTGGACACGGGAAGCGTTCAGCCCATATCTTTTCGGCCTGTCCCGTCCCCCGAGCTTCCTATATCCTATTTCTGTTGCCGTTATGCCTTTCCCTTACCTCGGACTATCGACACGTCAGCCCTTTCAAGATATCAGATCGGCAATGTCTCATCCTCCCTAGAAACACCATGAGGGGAACCTTGGACTAGGTAGTCAGGTTGGTGGCTCAACAACTGCCAAGAGGCATTTCTTTCTTTTCCAACTCTCGGCCGCCCTACCCGAGCGGCTAATAGCGATGGTCTTGCGATGAACCGATAACAGATGGGAAGGAAGGAAGGACTTTTTGCCCATCACACCCGCTAAACAAGATGGGCAAAATCAGCAGACCATGTTTAACGGATCACTGCCTGCATCCAATGGTGGGTGCTTCTCACATTTTTACACAACCCTTGTCGATTAAGAATGCAAGTCGCATCCAGTGCTGAGTAGCACGTGTTGGCAACCCGGGATAGCCTCTCTGTACTATGAGAGCACTTTGTGACTGTGGTCACACGTCACGGACGCGACGCGCACTACTGTTCACATCTCTCCTTTCGGTTCCGCTCATACTCGAGTTTTTTTTTCCAGTCCTTGTTAACTAATTGGAAGGACTCGCTACCTTTTCCATATCTCATCTTGTGTCATTTTCTACGTCAACTCGACAATGGCAGGCGCTCGTCTTAAGGGCATTCGCTATTAGGCTGTCTCAAGGCTGCAAGTGCAGGCCTAAGCAGAGACTGGAGGTGCCTAGTCCTATGCCGCCAAGCAGCGACGGATTAAAGACGGAACGGACTTGCCTTTGCGACCCGGATGGACTGGAGTCACTGGACTTGGTACCTTACCTTAGGTACCGGGACCTGGAAGGCTAGCGCACGTGATGACGGCGCTCATGACGTCCCGTTCCGGGTAGAATCACGTCAGCGTGCGGTCGGCTATCATGGTTTACTCCTTCACACCAAGGGTGTGTCTGCATCGAGAAATTGCTAGTGATTGAGGACTGCTATTGGCTTTCCCAGCTACGACCTGCAGCTCCGGACACGGCTTTTGATTGACACAGGGGGAGGGGGGGTAGTAAACCAGCAGGAACCGAGAGCAACAACGCAAGTTGGAGGCGTAAAGGGGGAGGGAGGACTGAGAGAGAATTGGGGAGGGCTCCAGACGGGAAGAGGGAAGGGGGGATGGTGAGGACGGAGGCCTGGAGTCTGCCACTTACGCAGTACTCTTCTCTGAGGGCAATGGATCGGAGCTTCGTCTTCTTGTCTCCCACGTTTGGTGATGCTGCTGCTTGCTGCACGCACCTTAGGTCCGGGCAGGGATGGTGATGCTGTTGCTTCCCCAGAGAGGTCCGAGCTCCTCGTGCTCGACAGACCAACCAGAGCGTCAGACTCCGAGTTCGAAAGCTGACCGTCGACCAACTTGCGCCGCGCCAGTCTGCTTGGTTCCCTGTTTGGATCTTCCACCCAACCCCGAATCCTCCGCCCGCGCCTACGTTCACGCCCGCGCCTACGTTCACGCCCGCGCCCGCGCACCCTCGTCCTCGCGCGATCCTCTTTCTCTCCCGTCTCTCACTCACGTCGCTCCAGTCTCTAGTCTCTCCAGTCTCCCCGTCCGCTGGTCGTCTCGTCTCGTCTCTCTCTCGCCCCTCAGTCACCGGCTGGCACGCCCCCCCCCCCCCCCGACAATCGACTCGAAGCTCCCCCAGCCACCCTCCACCCATCCACCCACCTTGGCCTCCCTCCTCTCAGTCCTGGCCTAGTTCTTGTCTCTGGGCCTGACTGGGTGAAGCGGGACTAGGTGTTGCTCCAGCTCCAAAGTCTCTGGCACTTTGTTCCTGGGACCTCTACTCCGTAGGCTTTGGCTCTTTGCCTTACCTCCGGCCTGCTCTGCCTCGCACACGCTCCCTCGCAAACAGTATGGCAGAACGCGCACCACGGAGCTGAGAGAGAGGGAGCTCCCTACCCCCCCTCCTCAGTCATCACTCTCTTGCGCACCGCACCGCACCGCAGCGCAGCACACCGCACCACACTGCCTCGCACTCCCTCCTCTCTTCTCTTCCTCGCGCCCGCCCATTGCGCTCCCAGAGAGCCAGAGCTACCACCAGTCGACTCGCACCCACCCACCTTTGGCCTTGCCCCGTCCTCCCCCCATAGCTTTCCTTGCGCCGACCTACCTACCTTGCCTACCTTTCGTTCTGGCCGCCGTCCCCCAACTCTCTCTCTCTCTTCTCTCCTTACTTCTCCTACATATCTCTCTCTCTTCCCATCTCTCTCTTGTCAATTCCCTACTGAAATTTCATCCCGAGACAACCTAATACACCCAATTGAACCCTCCGGAGCTCCATCACACAATGTCCACCCGCAAGAGAAAGCAAGAAGAGGAGGAGGAGCTTGTCTCCCTTCCCGATGACGACGGTGAAGAGGAAGAGGAGTAAGTCGTTCCTATCCTGCCCATGCCGTCGACCTCCTTTGAAAGTGGTAAACATCGAGTGATGTTCCTACTCAGACATCGAACTTGAATGCGCAGCCAGAGCTATCATGTCATTGAAGCTCCAATGTTGCCGTAGCTATGCGCCGGGCCAATCCAGTGTTCTGGAAACGCTCTCATGTACACAGCCGCTGTCCGGTATTCCATCTTCCTCAAACACACAACTAACAAGGCTCGCCCATCAGGTATGAATCAGAGGAAGATGGAGAGGAGGGTGATGATGACGTTGAGGAAGAGGAGGAGGATGAGGAGGAAGAGGGAGATGCCGAGGAAGACGGAGACGCCAACGGCGTAGACGGTAAGCCCATCTGAGAGCGCCCTGTTAGCCAATCCATCTAGAACAGACAGCTAACACTGGATTGCCAACAGAGAAAGCTCCTCCATCGAAGAAGCGGAAGACCGAGACCGCTGCCACGGATGACGCGGCCGATGCTGAAGAGGCTGCCGATGAGGAGGAAGAGGCGGAAGACGAGCCCGAGGGTGAAGACAACGCTGAGGAGGAGGAGGAGGAGGAAGAGGAGGCCGAGGCCGATGAGGAGGCTGCCAACGGCGTCGAGGACGCTCCGGCCAAGGGCGATGTCAAGGCTGCTGAGGCACCTGCCGCCACTAACGGCGATGCTGCCAAGGCTGTTGCTGCTGGCGGTGATGCCGAAGAGTAGACTCCGTCGTGTGTTCGATATAGCAGCATCAACTTAAACTTTAACTCCATCGGTCCTTTTCGTGTTCGGTTATCAGTTCGTCGAGAGTGATTGATTATGATGCAAGACGGGTTTTCAACAGCATCCTACTCAAACTTGGTTCCCTCCATGACCTGATGTGATGCGATGCACCTCATCCATTCTGCCAATGGTAGTCCGTGTGTAAATCAACGTCTTTTGTACGCGATGTAAATACCTACGAGCTGTATTCAACTTGCGACAGAGTGCGACAGTCTCCAGCAATGGCCCTCACATGCCAACCACTTGGATCGCTTTCGAGCGCACGGATGTAGTTCGTTTCGTCTCCTTTCCTTCGGACTGAGAGGGGGGAAGCTTAAGAGCGTTTGCGCCGACATGAGTAGAAAAGTGAACAGCAGAAACAATAGCTCCAAGGGAGACTATGTGAGATGACCGTCTTATTCTCTATAGATTGGGTGTCACTTGAGATGCAGACATGCCCGATACTTTACATTCATTCAAGCTGCTTTTCTGCGCCTATCCAATGAACCATGAACCCCCCTTTTCCAACCCTTTTCAGGAAAAAGATGTTGGTCCTCTGTGCGTGCTCCCTGGTTGGTTTGATTGCCGAGTGCAGGACAATGGGTGTTGACTGGCCGCATAAAAGATCCCCGTCGGCCTTTTGAGCGACGTTTAATTGGGGGCAAGTCTTGGGGGCTAAAAAAAAAAAAGGGCCGGGCCTCCCGTTCGGCTTTTCGGCTGGGGGTTGGGTCCCGGGGATCCGCTCACGATGGGCGGGACGGGGCCGAGGGACCGGGGCCGAAGTTTTCGGTTCGGGAAAGAGAAGAGAAGGAGAGGGCGAGAGAGGGAGAGAGGGAGAGAGGGAGAGAGGGAGAGAGGGAGAGAGGGAGAGAGGGAGAGAGGGAGAGAGGGAGAGAGGGG